TCGTGCCGCTCTGCTCAGTGCGCGGGGTCCCGGCTCTGCTGTATACGCTGCGGTCCAGCCGCCTGACCGGGAGGCACAAGGGCGACGTCAGGTACAGCGGCCAGGAATTCCTTGCCCTTTGCCGGAGGCCGCGGCTGGCAGGGACCTCGGGCAGGGCACTTAGCCCCTTCGAGCCTCGGTTTTCGCCTCCGTAAAATGGGTCTGGGGAGAGCCCCTACGCCCACGGGCTGCGGCGAGGGATCAGCGATCCGTGTGCCTCGGCTCCAGTGCACCTGCCACGCCCTCACCGCGTAGACCCCTCGTGCTAGTCCCTGCGCGCACGCCTCAGCCGGGGACACCCCTCTGAGCTGTTTCCCGCTAAGAGCGCGGACGCCGCCCCCTGCCGGCGACTACGGAGAGGTTCGGGCCCCGCCCGGCGGGATTTGAGGACATAGTCCCCGAGGACAATGTCAGTGCTACTGGGGCCACCATAGGCCGAATTTGGGTATCTGAGCCCCAGGATCTTCTTGCTCCTGCTGCAGACCCTCTTGTCCTGCGCTGCCCTGGGCTTCTTTTCCTTATCGCCATTGCTCAGGGAGATAAACTGGCCTCCAGAGGTCGTGTGGCTTGCCTGGGGCTTCCCAGCAAACTAGGAGCAGAGGCAGGCGATGCTTTGGTGGGCCACTGGCCCCCCGCACTGCCGACACCCCGACCTCTCCATGGCCCTAAGAGTCCAAGGATCAGACTCCCTGTGTCTGTTTAGTTTCCCAGGCGGCAAGTGCGACCCGGCTGACCAAGACGTGGTGCACACGGCCCTGCGGGAAACCCAGGAGGAACTGGGCCTGGCAGTGCCCGAGGAGCACGTGTGGGGCCTGCTGCGGCCTGTGTATGATCCGGTAAGCCACCTGGCTGAGGCCACCGCCCCCTCATTCACTCACTCTGTGCCTGCCCTGGAGCTAGGCCCCCACGGACCAGGAGAGTGGTCATGGACCCCCACAGGCACAAAGTGTGGAGGGGTGCCCCTAACCTGCCTGGTCACATGCACCACCCCACACAACCCCTTGGGAAGAGATTGGGGAAGCTCTGGTGTCCTGAGTAGAGGTGGCCCAGGGCGATGGGGTGGGCCACCTCTGCTCAGCTTGGTGGATTAGGGTCAGGGAGGCTTCATGGGGTAGGCAGGGATTGAACCTGGGCTTGAATGCCAAGTGGGAGATTGTTCTAAGCAGAGGGAACAGGTCTAGTGCATTTGAGGAGACCTGAGTCAGTCGGCATGGCTGGAGGACACAGGCAGGTGGACCTGAACATCACTACCTAAGGCCTGTGCATGGCAAAGGGGGTCTTCCTCTCACACTCCCCTCCCCAGCCTTCAAACCCAACTGAAGCCATGCTTCTCTGACCGCCTGCCCTCTTCCCCAGCAAAAGGCCACCGTGGTGCCAGTGCTTGCTGGTGTGGGCCCACTGGATCCCCAGAGCCTCAGGCCCAACTCGGAGGAGGTGAGCTGGGGGATGTGAGGGGTTGGACTGTTCCAGTTCTCTGTCTACCCTCTCTGCGTCCTGCCTGCAGGTGGATGAGGTGTTTGCACTCCCGCTAGCCCACCTGCTGCAGACGCAGAATCAGGGCTATACCCACTTCTGCCAGCGTGGCCACTTCCGCTACACACTACCTGTCTTCCTGCATGGACCACACCGGGTCTGGGGCCTCACAGCTGTCATCACCGAGTTTGCCCTGCAGCTGCTGGCACCTGGTACCTACCAGCCCCGCCTGGCTGGCCTGAGCTGGCCAGGGGCTGAGGGCCTGGCCCACCCTCAGCAGCCCCTGGTTTCACCCTGCCAGGCCAGCTCCACTTCAGGACTGAATAAAGGCCTTTGACAGCTCTAGAGCTCCTGCTTGTCCTGTGCTGGGGCCTTGACATTGGGCAGACCACTCCAGGCTGCTGGTTGGGGCTCCTCCTTCCAGTCACGCCATTCCCCACAGCAGTGGACACTTCCTGGGTGCCAAGTACTCGAAGTCAATTCATCTCACCCTCACAACAGCCCATAAGGCGGGGCCAGCACTGTCTCTGGCTGGTGAGACTGCTTTCAGCGGGGATAGACACCTTGCCTAAGGACCCCAGGCTGGGATTGGAACCAGGGCTGTCAGACTCCACAGCCCAGACTCTTAGGCATGCACTGCCCGTGTCTCAGCCTGCACCTCCTGTTCTCTCTGCTGTGCCTGGCTGACCCTGTGCTGGGCTCCGGGATCCCAGAGAGGAGTAAGGTGCACGCATGCCCCTGGGTGTTACTGCAGGGGTCTAACATACAGAGCCCCTGTGTGTGCCAGCTGCTGTGTGGGGGCCATAGCTATGGACCAGTCACATGCTGACCTGCCCTCCAGAGGGGGTGCTCAGTCTAAGGGAGACCTCAGACCAGGTCACACAGATAATCATGTGATTCCACATTAATTAATCACAGATAATAGTGGAATTACATAAGATGTCAACTAGGTAGACCAGGGTTCTGTGAAAGAGTTGAGGGAGTGGGTGGTGTGAACTTGCCATGGCAGGATGGCTGGATCCAGGGGCTCAGGGGCTCTGTTCTTGCTGTGCTCTGCGCTGTGCTGGCCTCAGCCTGGGGAGGTTGTCTCTAGTGCCGAGTGAGAGGTTGAGGAGAGGGCAGCAGCCTCCGTCAGCAGAAAACACGGCCACTCCGCCCGGCCAGTCTAACCCAGAAGTGCACCTCGCTGGCCTGTCTTGAGTCACGTGTCCTTCCCTGAGCCTGTCACATGGCCAGTTGGATTTACAATACATTGATAGATAGCGTCTGGGATGCTTGCCTGGGTAGGAGGGTGAACTCCCTGGACTGAGAAGCAGTGGTTCCCAAAGAACAACTGAGGTTCACACCTTATACAAAAATCAACTCAAAATGGGCTATAAAACCTGAAGCGAACTGGACTCTGTGGCTCATGCCTGTAATCCCAGCACTTTGGTTGGCCAAGGCGGGCCACCGTGACTTCAGGAGTTCAAGACTGGCCTGGTCATACATAGTGAAACCCTGTCTGTACAGAAATACAAAAAAATTAGCCAGGCATGGTGGTGCATGCTTGTAGTCCCAGCTACTCAAGAAGCTGAGATGGGAGGATCGCTTGAGCCCAGGAGGCAGAGGCTGCAGTGAACTGAGATTGTGCCACTGCACTCCAGCCTGGGCAACAGAATGAGATCATATCTTAAAGGGGAAAAAAAAAACAACAGAAACCTGCAATGGTAACACTACTTGAAGGAAACATATGGGGAAAGTTCTAGACATTGGTCTGGGCAATGATTTCTTGGATAGGACCCCAAAAGCAAAGGCATCAAAAGTAAAAATAGACAAATGGGATGGCACCCAACTAAAAAGCTTCTGCACAGCAAAAGAAACAACAAAGTGAGGAGCGAGGCTACAGGATGGGAGAAAATCTTTGTAAACCATACACCTGATAAGGGGGCTGATACCCAAAAGAAACAAGGAACTCAATAACAAGAAACAAATATCCGAATTTAAACATGGGCAAAGCACCTGAACATACATTTCTCAACAGACACATGAAAAAATGTTTAACATTGCTAATCGTGCAGGAAATACAAGTGAAAATCTCAATGAGATACCACCTCACACCTGTTAGAAAGGCTACTACCAAACCATAGGAGATAACAGATGCTCGTGAGGATGTGGAGGAAAGGGAAGCCTTACGTGCTGTCGGTGGAAAGGGAAATGAGCGCAACCATTTTGGAAAATCATATGGCAGTCCCTTAGCACACCAAAAATAGAGGTACCATGTGATCCAGCAACCCCACTTGTGGATGGTATCCACGGGAATTGAAGTCAGCATGCTGAAGAGGTGTCTGCCTCCATGTTCAGTGCAGTGCCATTCACAACAGCTAAGACACGGCAGCAACCCGACTGCCCAGCATCAGACGGATGGATAGGATGGCGTGTCTACACTGTTCAGCCTTAACAAAGATGGCCATTCTATCATTTGTGACAACATGGATGAACCCAGAGGACGATATGCTAAGTGAAGTAAGCTAGGCACAGAATGACGAATACTATACGGTCTGATTTTTATGTGGAATCTGAAAAAGTTGAACTCCTAGAAGCAGAGAAAATGGTGGTCACCAGGAGCTAGAGAGTAGGGGACTAGGGATGGGGAGAGGGGAGACATTGCTCTTAGGGTACAAAGTTCCAGTCAGGAAGAGTAAGCTGAAGGCCCTATTGCACAGCATGGCAAACATCCCTAACAATAGCACCTTGTGTATTTCACAGTTGTTTAAAGAGTACATTTTAAGTGTTCTTTTTTCATTAGCTTGACTGAATCTTTCTACAATGCGTCTTGTAGAAATCACATTTCTACACATATCACATCAGAACATCATATTGTACCCCATAAATATCTATGGTTATGTTGATTAAAAATTAAAAGAATAACTGGGGAGAAGAGAGGAGAGGGAATGCCGGATGATTAAAACCAGCCAAGATCCCCTGCAGGGGGTGACCCAGAAACCAAAGGTGAGTAGGAGTGGCCCAGTTTGGGAGGGGAGTGGGCTCTCACTGTGAGATGCCAAGGGGACACTCCTTGGTGAGGTGAAAAGGGGTCGCGCCTCATCAAAGGGTTCGGATTTTATTCCAAGCAGGGGTGGAGGTGGGATGATCTGGTTCATGTTTCAGAGTGTAAACTGGCCACCCCCGCAGGGCTCAATCACAGGGGCCCCTTCCTGTGGCTCCCCTCCCACTTTCCCATGCACCCCCTCCCCTCCTCCTATGCGCTCCCTCCTTCCCACTAACCACTTATCACCTCCACAGCCCTCTGTCACCTCCGGGCCTCCAGCCTTCTCACCTGGGAGCAGAGCCACATGATGGTGGTAAAAATAACTCCCTTTGACAAAGTGTGAAGGGGGCAGAGGAAGGAGGGAAGCTGAGCCCCAGCGCTAGGAAGGAGCTCTGGGAGGGTTCTGAGCTCTGGGTCACCCTCGCTCACTGGGGACACAGCAGTCAGGGGCTCTACCCCCGAGAGTGCACACCCATTGCCAGCAGCAGCGACTCCCACTGGGTGAAGTAGCTCCCAAAGCGGTAAGGACTGGGAGCTGGACTGACTCCTGACACACCCAGTCCCCTCCAAAGCCTGCCACGACCCTCCAGGCTGGGGACTCCCCTAGCCCCTCCCCCAACCCTGCGCTCTGTCCTCAGGCCCCCTGCATGGTATCAGCGATGCTTCTTCACCCCATCTCCGAGGCCGGGTGTGTTCCCCCCAGCCCCAGTCCTCAGGCATTTCTCTGAGTCCTCGCCCCCCGTCGGGGTCCCCATGGCGGGCACGGCGGCAGCAGGTGGGCGGCCTCCCCGGGTGAGCATGCTGGAGCACATGGCCATCGATGTGAGCCCGGGCCCCATCCGGCCCATCCGCCTCATCTCCCACTACTTCCCGCACTTTTACCCTTTGACGGAGCCTACCCTGCACCCTCCGGACCAGCGCCCCGCGGCGGCGTCCACCATCCGCTCTGCACCCCAGCCGCAGCCCGACCCAGAGCCAGAGAGAGACTCAGACGACAGCAGTGAGTAGGGGCGGGAGGAGGGGACACCCTGAGCTCAGTCCAGCCAGGAGGGGCATTGGGGTGTCCCTGCCATCTGGCCGTGGAGGGGCAAGGCAGGAGGTATGTGCCATGGGTGGGGGCAGATTGAGCTGAGGTAGGAGGTGACCCTGCCTGCCACCTGCCTTTAGCTGCCCTGGCCACCCTGGAGTTCACACTTCTTTTTGATGCGGACAACAGTGCCTTGCACTGCACAGTTCATCGTGCCAAGGTGAGGATGGGGGTGGGCGTCCCTGGGACAGAGGGCTGGGCCACAGGCCTATCTCATACCCACTGTCTGTTCCCAGGGCCTCAAGCCGTTGGCCTCAGGCTCCGTGGACACCTATGTCAAAGCGAATCTGCTGCCAGGGAACAGCAAGGTGAGGGCAAGCCCCAGGCCCCCACTGCTGCCCTCTGGTGGAACATCCAGCCTGCGGCACCCACCTGGCTCTGCTTGGCTCCTCCCCACCCCCCAAGGCCTGGGTCCCAGTTGCTGGGTTGTGCAAATAGTGGGAGGTCCTACCAGGGAGGCAGGGTAGGGGGTTGGAGGATGGTCTTAACCCTAGGAGGCCCTGACCCACCCTGCTTGGGCCCTAGGCCAGCCAGCTTCGGACACGCACCATTTGAGGTACGAGGGTACCTGTCTGGGAGGAGACACTCACCTATCACGGCTTCACCCGCCAGGATGCTGCGTGCAAGACCCTTAGGTGAGGATCCAGCCTGGGCCACCTGGGGGTGGAGCAGAGGGATGGGGCTGGCCTGGCCAGGTCTGACCTGGGCGGCCACCAGGCTGTGTGTGTGCGAGGACCCATGGCTGCGGCGACGGCGGCGGGTACCTCCCCTAGGGGAGCTGCAGGTGCCCCTGAGGAAGCTGGTGCCAAACCGAGCCAGGAGCTTCGACATCTATCTGGAGAAGCGGAGGCTGGTAAGTGGGGCTGGAGCACAGGGTGGGGCTGCAGGGGCCAGGAATCTTGTGATGGGAGCTAGAGGGGAGGAATAGGGAGGGGGACCTGGGCAGCATCTGGCCAGGATGACCGGGCTGTCTTCCCTTTCAGGCCAAGAGGCCCAAGAGCCTGGACACAGCCCGCGGCATGTCCCTCTATGAGGTGGGTAGGACGGCTGGGCTGAGCAGGGATGAGGGGGCAAGCCTGGTGGCAGGGGCGTAGGGGGCTTGGAGGAACCTGAGGCCAGCTCTCACAGGCCCTGTGAGCCCTCATTGTCCCAGGGGACAGCCAGGTCCCCAATGGCAAAGTGAGGGTGACTCCCTTGCCAGGGCAGCCCCGAGGAGCTGTGGGGCACTGGGACAAGCAGAGCCCTTCAGGGCACAGCCGGGCAGACACCTGCCTTGAGGCAGAGGCTGCAACTGGCGGCATTTATCCATGGCCTGAGATGGGAGGCTGGGCAAGGTGGAAGAGAAGACAGACGGGCGGGGCTCACTGGGTGGGGTCTGGCCCTGAGGGGAGTGTGGGGACCACTCCTGGGGCAGGCCGTCCTAGACAGGCCCTTGTCCGGAGGCAGTGAGGGTGACTGCAGAGGTTTCTTTGACGCCACTGGAGACCAAAGACCTAGCTAGAACCCCTGTGGTCAGTGGGGGAGGCAGGTGGGATGCTGACAGCAGGGCCCCCTACCAGCTCCTCCCCAAAGTGCCGGGTGCCCTGCCCTCTGGTGGAACCACAAGTTGCTGCAGCTGTTGATTAGCTAAGCCCAAGTGGCTGAGGCCCACCAAGGTGGCACGAACAGGCCACTTCTCCCAGCGCCAGCCCTGTGTACCCTCTGCCCCAGATCCCAAGCACAACAGCGCCCAGAGCATGGTGGGTGCTGACAGAGCACTCCCGCATTCCTGACAGCCGCCTGTGAACAAGGTGGTGGGGCTTTCTGCAAAGGGAAACCTACCCTGCGGGTGAGAGCAGCACATCCTCCTGGGGCTTCCTCCCTGAGCCTGTTCAGAAGCACCAGGGCCCAGAGTGTGGCAAAGAACACTCAGAATCTGGTCCCCAGGGAAGTAAGGGGTGAAGAGGGTGGGGTTTTGAAGAGATCTGCTTCTCCTTGGGAAGTGAACATCCTCTCAGAGCCACTTGCCTACAGGGATGGCTACGGGCACCGGATGGGAGACCACTTAGGGAGCTCCTGGCATGTCAGCCAGTTCCCTTCCCCTCCATGACAGACGTATCTGACTGGTCATGTGGTCAGCAAGCCTCACCTTTGGTCAGGCCCTGGAGGGTACAGCTGACCCATAGGACCACTTCCACGGCACTGTGCGAGTGGCTGTATTGGGAAATGAAGCCATTGCCCCTGATTTCTTTGGGGCCAGGTTGAGCTTTCCTGCCCAGAGCGCGGAGGCTAAAGGGGCTGGGCTTTGGGCTGGATGGGGGCTGACCTCAGCCTACACCTGCAGGAGGAGGTGGAGACAGAGGTGGCCTGGGAGGAACATGGGCGCATCCTGCTGTCACTGTGCTACAGCTCTCAGCGGGGTGGCTTGCTGGTGGGTGTGCTGCGCTGCGTCCACCTGGCCCCCATGGATGCCAATGGTTACTCGGACCCCTTTGTGCGCCTGTGAGTGAATGGGGTGGGCAGGTGGGAGGTGAGGACAAGACGGTGGCTCCTCACCTCTCCAGGGCCACACCTAACCTGCCAATCCTCCCCGATCAGTTTCCTGCATCCAAATGCAGGGAAGAAATCTAAATTCAAGACCAGTGTTCGCAGGAAGACCCTGAACCCCGAGTTCAATGAGGTGAGCCAGGACCAGGCAGGTCCCAGCCAACCCTGGCCTTGACATGCTGAGCCACTCCCCTGCTGAGGCCTGCTTCTTAAACTTTGGGAGAGCCAAGGCTGCCTCCTTCCCGCCTCTCTGCCCTTCTCCCTGCAGGAATTCTTCTACTCAGGCCCACGGGAGGAGCTGGCCCAGAAGACGCTGCTAGTGTCTGTGTGGGACTATGACCTGGGCACGGCTGATGACTTCATTGGTGAGTGGGAACATGAGGAGCTGGGGTGGGGGCCCAGTAGGCTACTGGCGGTTCCTGACCCATCCCCCATGGCAGGCGGGGTGCAGCTGGGCAGCCATGCCAGTGGGGAGTGCCTGCAGCACTGGCTTGAGTGCCTGGGCCACACTGACCACCGCCTGGAGCTGTGGCACCCACTGGACAGCAAGCCTGTCCAGCTCAGCAACTAGCCCAGGGGCCCTGCCTGCCGCCCCTCCACTACAGCTGCCTGAAGCGTCCCCACAAAAATGATGGAGGTTGGGGCTGCCTCACCCATCACGCCCCCCAGTCCCAAGTCAGAGAGGTGTTTCCTCTCTCCCCGCTTTCACATTCACCGCCCCCCAATCATGGAGCCGAAATAAACATCTCTTTCAAGCCAGACGAGACCCTGTCCTTCCTCTGGCCACGAGCCAGACTGGGCCCTGTTCTCCCCTCCCACCCTTGAGGATCCGGTGCTGGGTAAAGGGTAAAGAGCACAGTCACAGCAGCTGCAGCGGGAGGGTGGGCAGCACTCGCTTTATTGTCCAGCATTCCAGACGGACAGACACAGGACAGCAGGCCAGGGTGGTGGGCTAAGAGGCAGCCTGCCGGGCCTGATGCTGCTGGGCAAACCGCTGCATCCGTTCCTCAAGCTCCGGCCGAAAGTGACGGATCAGACCCTGGGGTCGGTGGGGGGACTGTGTGAAACAGAGTCCAAAAATCCCCCAACACCCTGGGCCCTTGATGCCACCCACCCTCCGCGCTACGCAGAAGGGCGGTGAATACCTGCACAGGCCAGGCAGCCCCGTCACCCAGAGCACAAATGGTGTGGCCTTCTATCTGCTTGCTGATCTCCCACAGGGAGTCAATCTCGGCTGGCCGGGCGTCCCCCCTCACGAAACGAGCCATCACCTTGTTCATCCAGTCCACACCTGCAGCCACAGCCACAAGAGAGGGCCTGATGATCTCCCCAGCCAGGATGTGGGATGGTGCTTGAGGGGTGCAGGCCACATGGTGGGGTGGAGGTTAAGTGAAGCCACGGCAAGCAAACCCCCAGCCTGCCCGCTGCTCACCCTCGCGGCATGGGGTGCACTGGCCACAGCTCTCGTGCTTATAGAACTCAATGAGGCGGGCGATGGCTTTCACGATGTCCGTCTGGGTGACAAGGGGCAATCAGCAGGCATCCATGGCCAGACAGAAGCCTGGGCCTCAACCCCCTAGTGATAGCCCCTCCCCCAGTTCCAGAAGCTCTTCCCAGCCCACCCAGCATTCTGGCCTCCTCCAGCCTCCCTGGGCCCCCTGTGCTGCCCAGACTCCGGGGTATTCTCCTCAGAGCGGCCTTCCTCCCTCCTCTTCCACCTTGCTTTACCTCAGGCTGCAGGAACTAAGACCTGAGTGCTGGCAAGAGGGTTTTCTGGGAGGCCCAGGGAGGAAGACAGCAACCAGGAGGGCAGGGACCGGGGCTGGTGTGTGAACCCTTACCGAGCGGTCCATGACGATCACCGCAGCTGTGCCCAAGCCTGTCTGTGCCTGCACCAGCGCGTCGAAGTCCATCAGCACCGTCTCACACACAGACTTGGGGATCAGTGGGGTAGACGAGCCGCCGGGAATCACAGCAAGGAGGTTGTCCCAGCCGCCCGTGACACCCCCTGGGGCCCCAAGTCAGTCCCCAAAGGGATGCATGGTCAGGGCTGGGGCCGGCACACCTGCCTCGTCCTGACCCCAGGCCCTTAGTCAGCCCCTAGACCCAGCCCCGTCTCCTGAGGCCTCCCGCTCAGGCTCTCTTCATGGACACCTGTCCACCCACATCCTGGCTGGCCCCAGGCCTTACCAGCATGCTTCTCAATCAGTTCTTTCAAGGGCACAGACATCTCCTCCTCCACAGTGCAAGGTTGGTTGACATGGCCAGAGATGTTGAATAGTTTGGTGCCTGAGTTGCGCTCTCTGCCAAAGCCAGCAAACCAGGTGCCCCCACGGCGGCAGATGGTGGGGGACACTGCCACTGTCTCCACGTTGGCCACAGTTGTGGGGCAGCCAAACACTCCTTCAGGGAAATGGGAAGACAACTGGTGGCTGCTAGTGGGTGGGGCAAGTTTCCTGGCAGGGAGGTGTGTCCCAGGGTCTTGCTCCCATGGCAGAACCCCTGCTCTAATATCCCCTTATCATTCTTATCCCTGCTGGACCCCAAACTCCAGAGATGCCTCATTGCCTTGTTCACCACCATGCCCTTAGCCTCAGAACAGGCACTGTGAAGGTGGAGCCACAGAGCAGCATGGGTGTGGGGGGACCGAGGCAGGAGGAGGGACTGCAGGCAGCCCTGGGGGAGCCTGTGTATTGTTGCCAGCCTACTCTTTATCTGACCCCAGCCGGGAAGGCACTCAGAAATCCCTAAGAACAATTCGAAGGGAACCTAGCCAGATCCCGGGTGTCACAGGACACAGTCTGACCCAGGGTTACGCCAGGCCTTACCCACGTCTGCAGGGAAGGGGGGCTTCAGGCGGGGCTTGCCCTGCTTGCCCTCGATGGACTCGATGAGCGCTGTCTCCTCTCCACAGATGTAGGCCCCAGCCCCGCGCACCACAAACACGTCAAAATCATAGCCAGATCCACAGGCATTCTTGCCAATCAGACCTGCCTCATAGGCCTCTCGGATGGCCACCTGCAGGACAAAGGTGTGACTTTCCCAGCCGACCCCCAGCCCAGCAGTCAGCCTATAACTTCAGGAGTCATGAAGCCCTTGAAGGCCTCCTACGGTGAGGCTCCTAATGCTCCTGGTATAAAAAATTTTGCTAACTTAGTAAAACAAATTGGAAAACTTGACTATAATCTGCAACAGATATGCAAGAAGGAACACGTAAGTAAGCTGCTTTGCTGCCAGGAAAATAAAAGTGAAGTAGCTATTATCAGGTCTCCTAACTACCCCAGTTTGTAAGGAAAAATAAAAGTCTTTATAAAATTAAACTAAAAATTTAATTGCCTATTATCCTTATTGCCTTAACCTATTTTATTTTTCTGTATTTCCTACAGATATAAGTATTATTCATAGTTCCAAGCAATGAACATAATGTATTTTCTCCAAATAGGAATTATTTATATTTATAGTTATTCAGCTCTCTTGCTAAACACATAGTTCCACTTATGTTCTTCTTGCTACTTGTTGTTATAATAAATACTATTATTTTTGAAGCAAAAAAAAAAAAAAATCATACCAGCAGCATTAGGAGCCCTGGAAGGTGGCTTTGGGAGCCAAGTCCCATTAGGGATGCATGCAAGACTGGCCACCACTCCCCCAGTTCAACCATTGAGACCAGGCGCTAACACCTCAGAACGACTGTGCTGGGTGAGGGGTGTGTAAGTGCACACTGAGCACCTTCTCATCTGCCCACGTCTCTCCCTGCCCACCTGCAGATTGGAGGCCTCATTGTAGAATTCCCCTCGGATGTAGATATAGGCGGCGCGGGCGCCCATGGCCCGGCCCCCAACCAGGCAGCCTTCCACCAGCTTGTGAGGATCATGGCGTATGATCTCCCGGTCCTTGCAGGTGCCTGGCTCCCCCTCGTCTGCGTTCACCACCAGATACTTGGGCCTGCAGGGGCCCACAGGTCAGAGAGGCTACAGGGCCACCAGGGCTGGGTCTTCAACTCCATGCTACCCCACTCCACCCAGGGAGGCCTCAAAGATGTCTCCTCAGACAGCCAATCCTTCACTGCCCTCCCAACATGTCCCAGGGGCTCTGCTTGCTCACCACCAAATGACAGGGAGCTTACTGCCTATTCTATCTTTGGGCAGCTATAACCACAAGAAAGGTCTTCATTCAGCTCATCCAAACATCTCTCCTTGTGTCTGCCCCTGAGACCAGATTCTGCTCTTGGTGACAAAGAGCATTCCTCAAGCTCTACCACCAAAAGGAGGTAAAGCAGGTGACATTTATCATTTGCTTTATGTGCCAACCAGCATACAGGCCAAAAGCTGTATGAACATTATCTCTTTAATCCTTGCATGGTATCACTGTACCTATTTACAAAAAAGAAGCTAAGATTCACAAAGGCCAGGAAATTGCCCAAAGCTCTATGATTAGGAGGCAGAGCTAGGATTTGAACAAAGTCTGCCTGAGTCAAAATCATGTGTTGATTCTGCTACGTAAGTCTCCCCTGTGGAAGTCCACAGAGTAAGTCCCATCCATTTAAGGCCTGGGAACATGTGCCCACCTCATTCATGCTGTTTTTAATTAAAGAGCCCAAAGGCCCAGGGAAGCCCCAGCCACCCCTAAGGTCTCTCCCACAGCCACATCTGCCCCACTCCCCAACACACACCTGCCATCTGAGGGCTTATTCATGAAGCTCCACTTGAGGCCAGTGGGGAAGCCAGCGCCTCCACGGCCTCGCAAACCCGATGTCTTGATCTCACCCAGGATCCAATCGGGCCCCTTCAGCAGGATCTCCTTTGTCTTGTACCAGTCACCTCGACTCAGGGCACCTTTCAGCCTGGACAGAGTAGGGAAGGCAGTGAAGGGGACGCCTTGCTCCGGGACCCAACACACGAAGGGCACTGTCTCACCTCCAGTCATGGCGGCCGTACAGGTTGGTGAAGATCCGGTCTTCATCCTTCAGCGAGCCAAATGAGGTTTTCTTGGGTGCTGTCTGGGGAGACAGAGGGTCAGGAGGCCCAGCAGCGCTCTGGGGCCATGAGGGATTGGGCCAGAAGCTACAGAATCTTGGGTCTCCCTATTTAGGAGGGGCTGGGCTAGGGCTAGGGGAGCATCTATAGCATCACAGCTACCACTGCCACTTAGTAACCTTCTTTTTTTTTGAGACAGACTCTTGCTCTGTTGCCCAGGCTGGAGTGCAGTGGCATAATCTCAGCTCACTGCACCCTCCACCTCCCAGGTTCAAGTGATTCTTGTGCCTCAGTCTCCGGATAGCTGGGATCACAGGCATTCACCACCACGCCAGGGTAATTTTTGCATTTTTAGTAGAGACGGGGTTTCACCATATTGGCCAGGCTGGTCTCGAACTCCTGACCTCAAGCGATCCACCCGCCTCAGCCTCCCAAAGTGCTGGGATTACAGGCATGAGCCACCGCACCCGGCCATTAGTAAGCATTTTTGTTTAGCAGATACTGGATGGAAGCATTTTACATTCAAAATCCCATTTCATCCTCATAACAACTCTGATAGGAACGATTTTCTCTATTTCACAGAGGAGAAAACTGAGGCTCGGAGCAAAAGGAACTTATGGAACGTCTCACAGTCAAAAGCAGCAGGTCGAATTTGAGCCCAGGTCTGTTGGTGGCCAAAGCCCACACCTGCATCACGGCACCACACCGCCCCACAAGCCGAGTGTGGGCATGGCCCTTTCCTGGCCTGGCTTCGGGTAGGCCAGGGGCCTTTTATATT